TTTTTGTTTTTTCTTTTTCTTTTTGCGGCAACTCGTCTAGCTTGCTGCATGTCCCTTATGGGCCACGGTATTCCTGTTGATCATGATGCTCTGCGGTTTGTGTGTTTTTTTTCTTTTGATACAGATATTTTTATCTATTTATCATGATTTTTATGGTTATTTGAAATATTTAGTAGATGCCAAAATTTTCAGGGAATGTTGTCTAGTGAAATCGAGCAAAACAACTTCCCCTTAAATTTGAAAGCTTTTATGCTTTAAACTACTGAATATTTTGGACCCTTGTTTGACGTCACATCTAACAAGAGATCTATACTATGATGACCTTCGATTTATTTTTTCAAAACGCGTCTCACATGGAGCGATTCAGCTCTCGATGTCAGGAAGTATGGTCCTCGTTTAATAAATCGAAAAGTAAAAAACCCAAAATCATGTTTCCATAGCACTGATAAACTTTGAAATAGATCAAATTTAGTACGATGCACGTTCCGTTTAGTTTTACTAAACGCGTCCCACATGGAATCAAGTGAGTATGCGTTCAAAGCCATCAACGTCACAATCAAGAATTTTGAGTTTGCTGGTCATAGCAAGAGGTTAATCATCTACGGTCTAGGGGCCGACTAACCTCTCCCTTAGGCTTCGGCCGAGCTTCCTGATCGGTCTGTAAATCTTCGGATAGCGGTGTCGGGGCCGAAATTTCCGGCGTAGCCGTAAATGCTTCGCGCTGCCATACGACGGTTCAGCACTAGATGTCTGGAAGTATGGTCCTATTTTTAATAAATCAAAAAATGATATTTTCTTAATCAAATGTTTATCAAGATCCATACTAATTCGACACTTCAAAGCTCTATTTTTCTCGGAAATGAGGCCGCCAGGAATTCTGGTATGGATTCTTTTCTTTGAAATCGAATTCGCAGTCACCTGGATAGATATTGATTCGATTTCTTCTAACATGTCTGGAGGAATTTGACAAGAAACCTTAGATTCTTTATTGCTTTCTGAGAAGACTATTCCGCCATGGAATCCTAAAGGACCGAAGCTATGCGATGCGATTTTGGACTTCCTATGAATTCATATATAGGAGGGTCCCGAGGATGGCAGAAAAAAAGAGACGTCGTAAGCCGACTCAATGACATAAGAGTAATGACTTAATTAATAACTGTAATATGTCGTATAATAGTTAAAAAAGGAAAACAACGAGTTGTAAAAGGTGGGGGTAGGGGGTGGGGTCTGGACCCCTCCCCTGGATACACCCTTGCTGYATTCGTCAAGACAATATCACGGAAATCGTATCCAGCGGAACATCGCGGCCCGTATAGGATAATCTAAAGCAATAAAATCTTTGACAAATTTAACTTATTGATATTTTGGTGAAAAAAGGAAAAAACATTACATATAGATCGATGGGCGGCGATCGCTGATACTATTATAAACAAGAACTATCAATATATACTAGTTCATGGAATTATTATATATTTTTGTTGGCAGCAATTAATGCAATGTAAATATGTTTATACGGAGCAAATAAAATACGTTGCCTTGTCTTGTCTTGTCTTGTCTTGCCTATGGGAGTCCCTACCCCCTCCCTGGGATTAGATGGAGATACAAAAGAGTGACCTACATCCACATGTAACGCTACGGAATGGTCACAAAGTAAACAGTCACGTAATACATATACGTTTCCAGCTCTGTTCCTGTGCAATAATACAGGCAACCCAGTTAAGCTCCAAGGACATCTTGTTTTGTTCATCAGAATCAARAAAAGGAAAAGGGTTTGGATATTTGTTGTTGGAAGATGAAGAATAGGAATTCGCCTTCATACAATGTATCATTACGTATATATATGGTGAAGGTCAAAATGTAAAAGACGGTAAGAACGATACGTTGTTACTAATACCAACTATAGTCTTTTACTAGTAAATGTCGATACAGAAGAAATAAGCCTTAAAATTCGAGTGATATTTTCTGCGTCAAGTTCGAACATGTTTAGCTAGCTCCTAATGACAAGATCCTTGCCGCTTTTTTCGAAGGAAAATCTAAACAGAAAGTGAAAGCTTCGATTAAATTTATCATTTCAAGTAAAGGTCAGCGATAAACTATGGTTTTTTGGTTCTATTTATTAAGAATGCTGGTTATGAAACGGAAATATTTTTCTCTTATTCTCTCTATTCCATTACACACACCAAACGCATAATTTATTACTGCTATACTTTGGTTATGAAACGCTTGATTTTCTTTTTCTTTACGAATTAAACCGTGGTATTCGAGATACTTTATTTTAATTTCGACCAAGAAGAAAGATTAAGTCAATAGTATCGAAAAAATTAGACTGTTAACAGCCTACGAAAAAATATCCAGTATATTTTTAAGAATAAAGCGTCCAAAAGGAATTCGAAGCTTTCGATGGTTGTTTACTTTCCTTGTTCGCAAGCATCAGTGAATATTCATTCAAAATCTGAGATTTTGCATTTTATATTGTTGTATAACGAGGTCAAATAGCTCTGGCTTTTAAAAATTTTATTTCGATTCATTTTACTATTCATAATAATCTAACTAGCTGACAGAAGAAGGGAAAAAGGGAAAACTGAGGATAAGTACAGCCGGAAATGGTTTCGAGATGATCATTATGTTGCTTTTATTTAATTACCATGAAACTTTCATCAAGCATTAGACAATAATTGAAGTTTATAATTTCGAAAAGTCATTTCAAATATTTATTTCAATTTTTGATTTTTGAATTCGAAAATTGAAAATTGAAATTGATGAGATAATATTGGAATTTTGACATGATCATAAAAAATGAAAATTCAAAAATCAGGCAAATTTCATGTGTCCAATTCACGCCAACTAAATTGATAAGCTCTTTGTGGAGTGTTACACGGACCTTACACGGACCCTAATTTTAATATTTCCTTATAACTTTGATTTATTTAACGCTATTTCAAAAAAAAAATTATCATTATAAACTTCAATTATTGTCTAATGCTTGAGGAACGTTTCATGGTTATCAAATAAAAGCAACATTATAAACGAAGCGAATAAACAAGCTTGATGCCGTCGGCTATAAATTGTACCCAACCACCTTAAAAACGTCTGTAAAATTTCGTGACTTTGCATGGCTATATCTTCGCCTGTTTTCAATATATCGCTCTCAAACTTTGCTAATTTTGAGGTGCTTTTTCCAGCATTATCGATGGAGTTTTGCTAACTAGTCCATGTAAAAAGTTGAAAAAGTCGTGGAAGGGTCTATTCTAAATCGCGTGCTAAATGTTTCGTTAGCAAGTGAACTGTTTTACCACCCTTTTCACACTGCTACGCACTGATCGAGACAACAGTCGCAACAGGGAAAAAGGGTAATACACTGCGCCGCCAGTCAGAGGATATAAAGGTATCGACCAAATTATTTGATTGACGGAAGTGTATTGACCAATTTTCCGGTCGCAACTGTTGTCTCGATCAGCGCGTAGCAATGAAAAGAGTTGTAAAMGTACAAATATTGTTCGGATAGCACACTCCCGTATAAACGGAACCCCTAAATATTATTACACCTTTTTGACCGCGGTTAAAAATTCGTCCGGTACCGTGTAAATGCAGTCTGTAAGACCATAAATATGCACAGTTCCGAAACATGAAAAGAAATTGATGCAGAGTTGTAAACTTTTAAAATGTGAGAGAAAAAATATCAGGAAAAGAGAAGAAAAAAGAAAAAAAAAACTAAATGTTTTTACCAGTCATTCATTATTTTTATATATCGTTTACAGTACCCGATAACGAAAATGGCGATTAGCACGGTAAACGTACTACAAAAGCTGAGAAGTCTTATAAATGAAGCCATTTTACCAGAGGATTTACAGTCAACTCCTTGGAATGACTTTGTGTTTGAGATATTATCACATGAAATGGCCACCCGTCGCTTGCGGATGAACACTGTCATAGTCTGGGAATGTTATGCAAGGAAGTGGCGTGAATTACTCCCAGACCTCAAAGCTTCCCAATCGTGGCCCGTTTATAGTGGAAGTTACACTGAAGGAATGCCAAATGCTGGGGATTTGGATACGATGCTCATAGCATCGTGGGTGGTGGTGTATGAATACACTGGTAAGATGGTAGACAATGTGAAGCAGCTACCGTTTGTCACAACCTCAGATTGTCACCCAGGGTTCATTCAAATTATCGTCCCGCATGCCACACGAAAAGTTTACGACTTTAAAGATTACCAAATACGAAAAATTGGACGGCATTTTTACTTGAGAAGCGACGGGTTTCTCCGCACTATGCAAGGGTGGGGAACTACTGGGAGCAATTATGAAGTACATGGACCAGCTTTCACACTATCAGCGACCGAGGCAACCTCGTATGATATCATCCATGCAATTAGGTGTACACATTGGCCTGCGTTTGCGCAAGATATTTTTAACCGCACAAAGATGCCAGCCGATTTGGTTGAGAAGTTGAAAAGCTCGAGTCTGTATGCTGTGGCAACTGGTCATGCTTTGAGTAAGGATGCAGACGTGCAATGGAGACTATCGTTCAGCGAAGCCGAGAACCATTTAGTCAAAAATTGGAATGAAACTCAGTTTTATTGTTACTTTCTTTTGAAGAACTTTAAGATGATTCATCTTAAAAATCCCGATATCTTGTGTTCTTATTTTATGAAAACAGTGATTTTTTGGATGAGTGAAGTTCTCCCACAAGAATGGTGGAATCCAAGCAGACTGATCAAGTCGTTTTGCACGTCCTTGTTTATTCTCCAGTCCATGTTCAGAAATCACTGCCTCCCAAATTATTTTATCCCACAAAACAACATGATAGACCACAAGAAAAGAAACGACTGTCTTGCTCTTGCAGACACGCTTCATTCTATCTTGTCTTCTGGTCGTATGAAAGTGATAATAGCAGAGCTACTATGTGAAGAACAGCTAGAGATCGTCTACCAAGTAGTAAATAATGTCCCAACACACATTCCTGTCCGATCATGTCGAAACCTCTGCACAATAGTTCGACAATACTGCCAAAGCACGGTCTCATTTTCTGAAGCGCTTTTGGTAAACGAAGCAACGATTTTATCTTCTTTGACAGTGATGATGACCGTGTGGAACAAGACACAATGTAAAGCCATGGAGGCCATCTTAACAAAGCTACCAGAACTAGTTTCTCCAGATATGGTTAACGTATTTCACGTAATGATAACGAGACAAATTGCTGATTCCTACCATTCACTTTCGACAAGGGATTCAAAAAAAAGAGCCGAGCATCTGTACAAGGAATCTCTAACACTTGTATATCCTTGTGGCTTTGATGACGAGGGCTTATCAGGAACTGTTCAGCTTGCACTTTTCTACTACCTGGAAGGCAACACTAGCCAGGCACTTACAGTTCTTCGTGATATTATACCAGTAATAGTTAAGGCAGTGAAGATGAACAGCGTGAGAAGATATATCTTCATTTCCTTTTCTTTATGTATGAAAGAGAGATTTGCTCGAGACGAATTCTTGTACAAAGAAGTTAGCAGCAGTAAGGGGGACTCGCGATCGATGCCGTATATTTGCGGGTTTAACCCGCGGAATTACGAACGCGGGTACAGCAGATTTACGGGATTTCCCGCGCGACAAGTCCTTACTGCTGCTGTGTTGGGTACCGCAAACGGAGGTTAAAATATTTGTCGGATATACAATGCATGAATGTAAAAAGTTCACCAATGACTTCTGTGT